GTTACCAGTTCTGGTCCTCGATCCAGGCGGCCAGGCACTGGCGCGCCTCCATGGGCAGCGCGGCGCCGCTGTACAGCTGGTGCAGCCGCTCCAGCGACGCCGCGTCCAGGCCCTGCAGCTCCTGCCACTGCGCCATGCCGGGGCCGGGGGCTGCGGGCGCCGTGCACCCCTCAGCCCGCGGGGGGGCGGCGGGCAGGGAGCGGCAGCGGCGCCCCCGGGATGGGCACCGGCACTGGGCACGGATGGGGTGGGACGGGATGGGACGGGATAAGGGGGCCCAGGCCGGCCCCGGGACAGGGCAGCATTGCAGCCCCCAGCCCAGAACGTCCCCGCTCCCATAAACACCATCCCTGCACCCTAAAGGCGCCGCCCGGGGCACCCCCTAACTGGGGCTGCCCAGACCCCCCAAATCCCCTGTCCCCCCTAACTGGGGCTCCCCAGACCCCCAAATCCCCTGCACCCCTCAACCAGGGCTCCCCGCACCCCTCAACACCCCAGCCCCGCCCCAACCCCCTTCTCGGCACCCCCTACCCGGGGCTCCCTGCAGCACCCATGGCCCCAGTCGGGGTCCCGCTGCCCGCCCGGTGCCCCCGCCCGGTTCCCAGTGCCCCCGCCCGGTGCTCCCTGCCCAGTGCTTGCTTCCCGGTGCCCGGCACCTGGTGCTCAGTACCCGGTACCCTGTGCCCCCTGCCCGGTGGCCGGTACCCCCCACCCGCTGCCCGGTGCTCAGTGCCCGTGCCCGGTGTCCCCCGCCCAGTGCCCGGTTCTCAGTGCCCCCACCCGGTGCTCCCTGCCCAGTGCTTGGTTCCGGGTATCCCCGCCCGGTGCTCGGTGCCCGGTTCTTGGTACCCGGTGCCCCCATCCAGTGCCCGGTGCTCAGTGCTCAGTACCCAGCGCCCACCGCGCGGTGCTTGGTTATCGGTACCCGGTACGCGGTGCCCCGTGCCCGGTGGTCGGTGCCCGGTGCCCCCCGCCCGGTGCCCCCCGCCCGGTGCCCGGTTCTCGGTGCCCGGTTCTCGGTGCCCCCGCCCGGTGGTCGGTGCCCGGTGGTCGGTGCCCCCCGCCCGGTGCCCGGTGCTCAGTGCCCGGTTCTCGGTGCCCGGTTCTCGGTGCCCGCTGCCCCCGCCCGGTGCCCGGTTCTCGGTGCCCGGTTCTCGGTGCCCGCTGCCCCCGCCCCGGACGCGCTCGCACCTCGGTTCCCTGCGCGGCGCCCGCCCTGCCGGGACGGCGGAAAGGCGCGAGCGAGGCCACGCCCCCCGCCGCTCCGCGAGCCCATTGGCGGAGAGCGGCGGCGAAGCCACGCCCCCTCGGCCGCCAGCACCGCCAGCCATTTCCTAGAAATGACGTTGAGGGGCGGGGCCTGGAGGGGCGGGGCTAAGGGGGCGGGGGGAGGTGCCCAGGTAGAGGCGGGAGGTGGCGGGGGTCGGGAGCCGCCGCGAGCAGCGGCCGTGGGGCAGCGCTATGGGGCAGCGCTGTGGGGCAGCTCTGTGGGGCAGCGCTATGGGGCAGCGCTATGGGGCAGCGCT